GGAGCTAGTCCAGCCCCTACCAGTTAACTGGTTGAGTCCACAGGGCGCCCTTGTAGCCAAGAAAGCTAACGGCATATTGGGGTGCATTAGCAGGGTGAGGCCACATCTGCAGTACTGTGTCCAATTCTGGGCCCCCCATTACACAAAGGATGTGGACACATTGGAGAGGGTCCAGCGGAGGGCAACCAAAATGGCTAGGAGACTGGATTTATGAGGAGAGACTGAAGGATTTGGGCTTATTTAGCCTGCAGAAGAGAAGCATGAGGGGGAATTCGATTGCAGCCTTCAACTCCTTGAAGGGAGGTTCCAAAGAGGATGGAGAGAGGCTGTTCTCAGGGGTGGCAGAAGACAGAACAAGGAGCAATGGTCTCAAGTTGCAGCGAGGGAGGTCTCGGTTGGATATTAGGAAAAATTATTTCCCTAGGAGGGGAGAGAAGCACTGGGCTGGGTTCCCTAGGGAGGCGTTGGAATCTCCATCCCCCAAGGTTTTTAAGTCCCAACCTGACACAGCCCTGGCCGGGTTGATTGAGTTGGGATTGGTCCTGCCTCGGGCAGGGGGCTGGACTTGATGACTCCTGAGGCCTCTTCCAGCCCTAGGATTCTATTAACCCAGGGGTCTCAAACTTTGTGATTCCACAACCCTCCTCTAAGTGGCTGCAACTCCCCTCTAAGTTGCCCTGAAGCACTAACATCCAACAGACATGACAGACCAAGGGTGGGCGACAGGAAGGATTGTTCCAATGGGGAAAGTGAGGCATGGAGCAAGTCAGTGACTTGCCCACGATCACGTAGGGAGCCTGTGGCCCAGCTGGGACTTAAACGCTGATCTCTTGAGCCAATGAAAGCGCCAGAGTAAATGTGTCCAAACGTAGCATAATGCAGACGGCTGCATCGCCAGCCCGCTTTTCTCCCCCCTCCGCCTTAGCATGGGAGCGCGTTGTTATTGCAGTCCCCTGTTGCGTGTTGCTATTCCACCAGCCGTGCTGTTTCATTCGCTCGTTTCGGCCTTTAACAGTCGCTGGCTAAGTGGCTCGCTTTGTGCTAGTGAGTACTAGGAGGCTATGTGACCTTCCAGCCCTTTCTCTCTCCTGACGTTCTGTAGTTAGCAATGTGCAGCCTTTGGTGATGCTGGTAACCAAGTTTATGAACCCCCCTCCCCCTTCCTTCCTTGGCGGATCTGCAAGAATCCAGTTCCCTCCCAGGTGGGATGTGGCAAGAGGATTGGTCCCTGCATAGAGGGGAGCGTCTCATCCGGCCAGGAAACTGACTCGGTTCCAGAGCCCAGACCTCCCTGGCATAGCAGGGGGCTGGAGAAATAGGCGGCTTTGAGGTGCTCTGACAAACAAAAAAGCGAAGCAGCCGTAGAGCTGCTCTCTGGCAGGGACGGAACAAAATCACGCTGGTTGTGGTGTGGGTTCTGCTGTGCTAAAGGGTCTCTCACCGGCCACACACTGACCAACAAACGCCCCCTTGTACTCTCGCGGAAATGAGCCCCATTTTAAGGAGGGCTCGTTAAAATGGCAGGGTGATGCCGATCCCAGGTGGGAAGAGAGCAATGCGAGCCAACTCGGCCTTTTCAGTGCCCCTGCCTTCCTTCTGCCCCGCTAGAATACTCAGTTACACCTGTTTCCAGAAAGGGAGAAGGAACCCTCTGGTGAGGCCGTATCTGGAGTATTGTGTCCAGTTCTGGGCCCCCAGCTACAGGAAGGGTGTGGATACATTGGGGAGGGTCCAGCGGAGGGCAACCAAAGTGATTAGGGGGCTGGAGCATGTGACCTATGAGGAGAGGCTGAGGGATTTGGGTCTGTTTAGTCTGCAGAAGAGAAGAGTAAGGGGGGATTTGGGAGCAGCCTTCAACTTCCTGAAGGGAGGTTCCAAAGAGGATGGAGCGAGGCTGTTCTCAGTGGTGACAGATGGCAGAACAAGGAGCAATGGGCTCAAGTTGGGGTGGGAGAGGTCCAGGTTGGATATTAGGAAAAATTACTTCCCTAAGAGGATGGTGAAGCACTGGGATGGGTTCCCTAGGGAGGCGTTGGAATCTCCATCCCTAGAGGTGTTTAAGTCCCGGCTTGACCAAGCCCTGGCCGGGTTGATTTAGTTGGGATTGGTCCTGCCTTGGGCAGGGGGCTGGACTTGATGGCCTTCTAAGCCCTATGATTCTGTGAACCCAGGAGTCTTGGCTCCCAGGCCCTGTTAGAGCAGGGTGCTTTTTGGCAGGTGTGCGCCTGGGAGGGGAGGGCTCATGACTGCATGGCCAGGGCTGAATCACATTGTCATGTTCTCTTCCCCCCCCTTCCAGAGAAGATGGACACCTTCAGCACCAAGAACTTGGTTCTGCAGGCTCAGAAGAAGCTCCTGAGCAAGATGGCCTCCAAGACCATGGCCAGCGTCTTCATCGATGACACCAGCAGCGAGGTCCTGGATGAGCTGTACCGGGTCACCAAAGAGTTCACCCGCAACCGCAGGGAGGCCCAGAAGATCATCAAGAACCTGATCAAGATCGTCATGAAGCTGGGGGTGCTGTACCGCAACCGGCAGTTCAATGCCGACGAGCTGCGGCTGATGGAGCTCTTCCGCAAGAAAGTGCACACCTTGGCCATGACCGCCGTCAGCTTCTACCAGATAGACTTCACCTTCGACCGCAGGGTCATGTCCAGCGTGCTCAACGAGTGCCGGGACCTGCTCCACCAGGCCATCAACACCCACCTGACGGCCAAGTCCCACTCCCGGATCAACCATGTCTTCAACCACTTTGCGGACTACGAGTTCCTCTCGGCGCTGTACGGACCTTCCGAGCCCTATCGCACCCACCTGCAGAGGATCTGCGAAGGAGTCAACAAAATGCTAGATGAGGACAACATATGAACCCGCAAAGACAAGGTCTGAGAGCAACTGTTTGGCTCTTCGCCTGGTTCTCTTCCACCGGGACTGCCCAGGCTGCATTCTGCTAGCCGTGAATTCAACAGCAAGACGTCCGCTGTCAGTGGGACCTGGCCTTACGCTCTCTCCACGGTGCTAAACTTCTGGTTCCCTTCTCTTTTCATAAAGACCTGGGACATTTCTGGCTACACGATTTTGCAATCTGCTGCTTGTCTTGGTAGCTGGAATCTCTTCCCCTCGCGTTAGCTCCGTCCAGAAATTAAAATGAGGCAAGCCGCTTCCGTCTCTACCCTGTTGGGGCACCATCCCACCGAAGGAGGGCTTGTTTGTAGGAGCAAGACTGGAGAAAATGCTCCCGCTGAGCCCCAGCGTGATAGCTCCGCTTCGGAAGCCAATCCAGCGTCTAACTCAGCACAGGCCAGCCCTTCTGAATCCATGAGCTCGCTGTTTAAAGTTCCTTGGGCTTGCTGTATATATTCTTAACCACCAAGTGCTCTTAAACCCACTTGTAAATGTCTCTCGCTCCTAAATCTATCTTAATCCTGGCAGGGGGAACCCACTACCTCTTTGTGTGTAACTTTTAATTTTCTCGAGTGAGATGGACTCAAGCCGAGAGCATGGAAGAGTCGTTTAGATGCTCTGCCTCTGCCAAGATACAAGGCGGTCTAGCCTGAGGTCAATCCAGGATGGCTGTGTTTAAATCTAGTTTCTCTGGCCCGCGTCTAGCATGGTCTAGCGCCCCCTAGGCCAGGGAAAGTATATTCGTCCCTTGCAAGCAAGAATTGGATAGCGGAGGTTACTAATATTTGTTGTCTCCTTGGAGGCCAGGAACTGTACAGTGGGAACTGTACAGTGTACTGTATAGGGTGACCATCTGTCCCGTTTTAACCGGGTCTGACCCGTATTTAAGTGGTCTCCCAGGTGTCCTGACATTTTTTTCTTAAAAGGGGCAAAATGTCCCATATTTGCACGCCCCCTGCTGGTCCTCGAGTCCCCCAGCCAAGTGCAGCTGCAGCAGCCTCCTCTGTGTGGCTGGCAGTGAAGCAGGCCCCGGCCCCGGTGGTGTGTTGGGTGGAGTCAGGCAGGAAGCTGAGAGAGAAACCAGGTAGTAATGTCCCTCCCTGTGCACCCTAAAGAAGGAGGGGTGTCTGCCAGCCTTCCAGGAATATGGGGCTAAAGCCCCTGCTGGTACCCCTCCCCTTGGGCTGAAAGCCCGTTCTCAAGCGCCCCCACTGCGGGCTGCAGCCTCATTCCCTGGCAACCCTCCCCCTGGGGCTTCAGGCAGGAAGCTGAGAGAGAAACCAGGTAGTAATGTCCCTCCCTGTGCACCCTAAAGAAGGAGGGGTGTCTGCCAGCCTTCCAGGAATATGGGGCTAAAGCCCCTGCTGGTACCCCTCCCCTTGGGCTGAAAGCCCGTTCTCAAGCGCCCCCACTGCGGGCTGCAGCCTCATTCCCTGGCAACCCTCCCCCTGGGGCTGGAGCTCAGAGCTGTTCCTGGGCAGCCCCCACCTGTGGCAGGGCTCAGGCTCTCTTCCTGGGCAGCCCCCACCAGCCCCATTCTCAGGCTCCAGCTCTCCCCACCTCCACCCTCCTGCAGCAATTAGCCTCGGTACTGGGCGACCCCCACCTGTCACGGGGCTCAGCCCCATTCTCGGACTCCCTCCCCCTGCTTGTGATGATCAGCCTGTTCCTGGGCAGCCCTCAGTGGGGGGCTGAAGCCCCATTCCAGGGTGGTCCCACCATGGAGCTCATCCCTGGTCCGGGGTGTCCCTTGCCTTGGGACTAAAGCTTGGCATCCCATTTCCCCCTCCCCCTCGAATATGGGGCTGAAGCCCTGAGTGCCGGCAGCTACCCACCTTGGTCCCGTATTGGGCATAGAGAAATAGGCTCCCCCTATGGATGGATCATCCCAGAACCCGAGCCTTGCACTGATACAAACTTTGTACCTGCATCCGCAAATACGGTCCCACTGTCGATTTGCCGGCTCCATCCACCGGCTCCCAAGGGGGACTCCTGAATGGCGGAGAGGCGGCAGAGAGGGCGATCCCAGTGTAGTTTGACGCCTAATGCGAGTCAGGCCTAACCCAGGGCAGGAGCGAGAAGTGGGTGTGCGCCAGGTACCGCTAACCCACTCAGCCCAGTGGGCAGTGTGGGCCACTTAGAGGCAGCCTCTCCCCCTCCCCCAGCAGAGAGGCGTGGGGCGTGCGTGGCTGTGTAGTTTCAAACCAGATGTGCACTTTCCTCCGCCGCTGACAGCCACGCTGAATTTCTCTGTCCCCGGCTGCTCCGGCCGCTCACATCACTGGACTCGGCCAGCTGTGGCCCTCAGAGGCTGGCGCGCGTGTTGTAGGCGTGAAATGTCTTGGATTCATTTACATTAAAAAACAAAACACAAAACCAACTCGGTAACTGGGGGGGGGGGGGGCCCCCGGCCCCCCCCTTCTGCAGTCAGGGGATTCTCAGCCAGCAGGTAGAACACAGGGCGCATTAGACGGGGACACAGCATGGAACAGGCTTGTCAGCACAGGAACCAGCAGTAGTCAGTTCAGCCCATCTTGGGGGGTGGGGGCTCAGAGCCAGCGCCCTGCCCTTCCCCCT